ACAGTTTCCATCTCAACCCTCACTCATTTCCTTCCCCCAACCCCCACACTACCTCCCACTTGCCACTACCCACTTCCAAACACTTCCCTCTGACGAAACTTCAGCTAGTCCCATTCATTGCTTTCTTCTCTCAACCCTCTTACTCCTTAACCCTCTCCCAAACCCCTCAATTCTTCACCCTTGACACCCATTTCCCAAGAACTAGTTCGAGTGAGTGCAAGGCAGTGAAAGAAACAGGAAAGGGAAGCAGCAAATAGGAGAAGTGAAGGGGCTGCTGGGAGAGAGGAGCAGCAAGCAAGATGGCGTTGTATTTCAAATTTAAAAAATTGACTGAACACATACTATCACAAGCTGTTTCTTGGCATGTGCACTGTGACCGCACTAAAATGAAAGTGGAGGCAGTGCTATTCAGGCAAGTTCTTTATTTACAAACTGTACTAGAACAAAAACATACTATGAGAACACAATTTAAATAAGGGAAAACTGTTCAAACATGCAGACAGTGTGACCAAGCAACTCTTGCTTTCCCCCTACCCTGCAATACTCAACCTAACTCTGGACTTCTGCATTTATGTTTTCAGGCATCCAGAAACTGTCTCCAGGCCAGTCAGTGCAGCCGGATGATGGGGGTGAATGAATTGAGATGTATCCACAAAGAAGCACTGTCATTTTATCTGAAACTTGCAGCTGCCAGCTCAGACATGGGAAGTGTTCATATTTTAAGAGACAGTGATATAGAGAGGGGATCAGCAGATGAGTCACAAGGTACAATTAGGCTTCAGCTCACACAGGAGAAAGGATAGTGCATGTGCCAGCTACCAAAGGGTAGGGTTACAAATGAGTTCTGCAGCACAGAATTCAAATAAAAATTCTGATAAGACAACGTAAAGACAGCTGGTGGGTTGCACACACAAATGCTTTGTGAATTTTGAGGTCAGTGTACAGCCAGTCGTCATTGTCAAGGATATAGAGAAATATGACTCTGACTAGGCACAGGCTTTCTGTAGAGATGCTCAAACTGCTATATCTGTGGATATGAGCGCTCAAAGGTATATGCAGTCTCAAAACAGGCGAACAATCTTTTCTCCAGCAGACGGTTTGTATTATTAATGTGCTATACACGGCTCCTTAGTTTCATAAATCTGCTGTCCCTTCTCAAGATGACAGCTTTTGTGCTCAAACCACAATTGATGTCTCTCACCCAACTGGCATGTCCAGACTGCTGCTCCAATGTCAAGGTAGTGCAGTCCATAGCAGCCACTTACAGTCTCCCCACAATGAAAGTCAGCAGTCTTTCACCAGCCACCATGACCTACAAATACTGCAACAGTACTATGCTGAAGCACCAAATGTGACAAAGACACCCACTAGACAGGTACTAAAGAAAACCACAAGGGTAAGTAGTTATAAAAACAGAAGTTGCGGGAAAAGCTCAGCAGGTCTGGCAGCATCTGTAAAGAAAATATCAGAGTTATTGTTTCGGGTCTGGTGAACCTTCCTCAGAAGGGTTTGATTTGTAACTCTGATTTTTTCTTCACAGATGCTGCCAGACCTGCTGAGCTTTTCCAGCAACTTCTGTTTTTCTTCCTGATTAACAACATCTACAGTTTATTTGTTTTTTTTTATAGGGTAAGTAGTTATGTTTTGTCTGCATTAATCAATATGTTGTCACAATGTTGTAATGAAATTTGATTAGTGGTGTCTTGAAATTCAAGATTTTGACAAAAAAAATTCTGATGGCACACAGCAGAGGTCAGGAGTTGTGCAGTACCGGTGATATGGGAATATTTTCAGCAGAATCTAATACAGTGAGACAGTCAAGGACAGGATATCCAAAGCAATGAGGCCCTAGATGTTGTCTTCTTACCTCCCCTCAAGATGCTCATCAGTAGTCAGAAGGCAAGATCTGTGCCCTTATGATTGCCAGGTCATAAAGAATGCAGCAGATTACTAAAAATTTGGAAACACATTCTGACAAGTTCTAGAGACCATACAAGCTTTGGAGGCAAAGAAGCAACATCTTTTTTTCCCCCTTCGCACCTAGTTCCACTTACATCAAATTTTGTACTTTTATATTTTACTCATACTGCGTGCTTTTTATGACCAATGTGCTCAGTCAAGTGGCCTCGCAGAGAAGATATTGCTACACATTAAATGTTAAGACCAAAAATGTGAACCTCTATGCGGTTAAAGACTACTAACAAAAATAAACCACTCTTTTCAAAACCAAATGAAACAATGTGAAAACATTTGTGGCCTTTCTAAAACAATTCTTGCCAAATCATTGTTTTTTCACAATATATTAAACTGTATGATGATTTAAGCGTAGTTTCTAGCTGTCGAAGTATTTGGAAGGAATTAGGCTTACACGTTAAAAACTTTTGACAGGACCACAAACATCAATTGAGACACTAAAAATTTAATTTCAAACCATCACAGCATAAAGAACAACATTACAAATTCAAGTAGTTATATATTATCTTAGCAAAAACAGAAATAAAAGATACAATGTACATTTAACACTTTGTAATTCTCCATCAATTCTAAATTGTAATTCTCAAATTAGGGAACCGTTCAAGGTAGCAGCCCTAAGATAAATCATTTCAGAATTGGTTTCTTTCCTCTGTCTTCATATTCAGTCTTTCTTCTTTGCAGTTAACAACAAGGAATGCACCCACAGATGAATTGTACTTTTAAAGGCCAATTCAACTGTTAGCCTCAAATTTAAAATAATTCAGCTTAGCAATTGAACTGTAACAGATAAACAGCCCACATAAAATACTGAAGGAAACAATGTTTTTTGGCTCTCCACACAAGTCTAAACAGCCCACAGGATTCTAAGCAGAGTTGTGTTACTTTATGGAATACACTTCCATCTAGCAAAGTAAATGCTAACTTGGGTTTAAGTACTCAAAAATGGGAAAAAACACTAGTGCACCTTCTCAGGGCAATTAAAGGTGAACAATAAATGTTAATCTTGTTAGTGTTGTTCATGTCACACAAACTAAAATAAAAAGCAGGGAGGTATGCAGGAATTAACAGAAAAGGTTCCGTGATCCTGATTGAGGGACTAAGTAACAATATTATCTAAATGGCTCTTGTTATTTCTACTTTTTAAGATTACTGTAACAAGAAATTAATTGAAAATGCAGAACTGCCTTTTACTAATGTACAGCATGCCATCTCTAGAGTTCAGCACGTCATAAAATGTGATTCTCAAGTCATTGGTAGTATTCTAATCCAAGTTAGAAGGCCATGGGTTCAAAGCGCAATCCGTAATTTGAGACTGTGACTTTAAAACAGTACTGTGGTACTGCTGTGTTGTCAAAGGTATCATCTTTCAGGCGAGATGTTAAACTGAGGTCCGGTCCTCATGTCCACGTGGATGTAAAATATCCCACGTCACTTCCTCGAAGTGGAGCAGGGAGTTCTGTGATTGTCCTGTCCAATATTAATCCCTAAATAATTGCCATCAAAACAAATTAACTTGTCATTCATCTCACTGTTGTTTATGGGATCTTGTTATGTGCAAATAGGCTGTCATGTTTGTATACAAAATAACAGTGACTACATTTCTACAGAACTGCACTGGGACATCCGGAGGACATTAAAGACATGGCTCATTCATTTTCTTCTAGTTACTTTTCTTTCATTTAATGAGATCTTAATAACTATACCAGTTTAGTTGATTTCATAATATTAAAAAAAATTAACAGGTGCTTGAAAGCACTAAACTCGAATATTGCAGAACCATGAAAAGATTGTGCTATTTGATTCGAATTCATCAGACATTTGGCCTTT